TATGTTCGTGGCCCTTAATAAATAAAGATAGACAAACATTTCATGTGATGTGGCGTTCGGACTGAATATGCCATAAATTGCTAAGATTTGGGATTTCGCGATTGAAAACCGAAATGATTTGCGCCGAGATTTGTGCGATGTTGGGCTATTTGCCGACCGAGCGTGCTAGCCGCTTTTATTTTTAATTTACGGCTTCAAAAACTTGATAAAATCAAAATTGTCGTATTTTGTTAAATGTAAAATGCGCAGCATGTTGCGCACATTATCAAAGAAAAAAAGTTGACTTTATTAGACTGAAATAAGCAAGATGTCCGCCGGAGTTGCATACATGAAATATGTAGGCTACCGAGGCGGCTTTGTATGTGCTCTGGCAACAATCACACCATTGGCATTGCGCTCCGGAACCAACACGAATGACATGTTTTTTTATCAAGTTTTTGAAGCTAAATTAAACGATATGTATATGATTACAATGCATGCGCGCATTTATATGTATTACGGCTGAAAAGTGTAGAGGTAGGCCTATATCATATAATCATATTCTGTCAAAATAACAGCGGCTAGCGCGCTTTGTCGGCAAATAGCCCGACATCGCACAAATCATTTCGGTTTTCAATCGGGAAATCATCCCAAATCGTAACAATTTATGGAATATTTCCTAAAGCCACATACATACACATGAAATGTTCAGTGTCTATCGTTAAAGGCCACGAACCGGCATATACTCAGTAGGAGATAAAATGGCAAAATTTGTGGCTCGAGCGTTAGCCACTTATTAATTACAGCGTACAATTTATAGCTTTGTATCAGACATGATGCCAATCGACATAGTTATTCGCGGCGTTCGTGATAGGACCATAACACTTCGAAAGCTAATAAACCTAAACTGATACATCGATAGTCTTGTTACTATTAGACTATACGACTCGCGAAATGGAAACTTATTATACTACAGATAACGTACACATTATTTTATTACTGGAGATTTGTTGCGTTAAATTTTCCTAATTTTTAATTTTGCGCATAAAAGGAAAAAGTACGAAAAAAATATTAAAAATAATATTTTCGTGAAAAAATGCGTTTTTAGCACATTTTATGACCCACGACTTTACCCACGACTTTACCCACGACTTTACCCACGACACACGACTTTCAACCCACGACACACGACATATAGGGACACTCCATAATATTCAATCTACAACCTGACAACGAGAATAACTTGGGCAATAATCGACACCCTCGTGCAAAGCACAACACCTCCTGCCCATTCCTTAGGCGCCGAGGGTGGTGCGCAAAAGGAAACCGATGTGATTTCAAACATCCGCATGAAGAGCCGAAACGGCTATTACTATAACAAGGAATGGGGAATCGGGGAAAGGAATCGGGGAACGGGGAATGGGGAATGGGGAATGCTAAAACCCGGAATACTAAAATGGGGAATCTCTAAAACCCGGAATACTAAAATGGGGAATCTCTAAAACCAGGAATACTAAAAGCCGGAATCTCTAAAACCCGGAATACTAAAATGGGGAATCTCTAAAACCCGGAATACTAAAAGCCGGAATCTCTAAAACCCGAATACTAAAATGGGGAATCTCTAAAACCCGGAATACTAAAATGGGGAATCTCTAAAACCCGGAATACTAAAATGGGGAATCTCTAAAACCCAGAATACTAAAAGCCGGAATCTCTAAAACCCGGAATACTAAAAGCCGGAATCTCTAAAACCCGGAATACTAAAATAGGGAATCTCTAAAACCCGGAATACTAAAATAGGGAATCTCTAAAACCTGGAATACTAAAA